ATTAAGATTAAAATGTGTATGTGTTCACTTGTTTGCGTGGTTTGTGCTGTGATTAGGTTTAGGGTCTTGTGCATCTTAGACAGTGATTCTAGTGCTGAGCTATAGCCCCTAACCACTTCGTGTCATTTATAATCTTAAAATGTGGGTTATTGTATAATATCTCATAGTCATGGGTGAACTTAACTATTAGTAGAGACAAGTGGAAACCATACAAGGAGGAAGGAATGAAGAGCAAGTAGGAGCTATGGCAGTGCGCAGACTTTGTTTGATGTCTATAATTATCATGTAATGTGTAGTTCATCTTAAATAGCCCCTCTCCTCATTTTAGACATAGTCTGAGACAATATGAATTAGGGTTTTATTTCTATGAGTCATAATTCTGCAATAAAGTTGACCATACTTTTTACTCAAAGAGTTAATATTTTTCTTTGTTTGGTGTGACTGACAAAGAGGGCTTTTTGACATTAGACATTTAGTTATTATCTTGTTCATGATCTGGGATAATTATAGCAATAACATACAGAAGTTACTTTTGCTTGGTCTTGGGTGATGTTGCAGTATTTTATGGTTTATTCTTTCTCTCTCTGTGTCAGTGGGCTCTGTTACTTTTTGAGACAGGGCCTCTGTAGCATTGAACTCCTTATGTAGCCCAGGGTGGTTCTGAACTCATGATCCCCTTGCCTCAGCCTCGTGAGTGATAAGATTACAGGCCTGTGCCACCATGCCTATAATGAATATTAGAACATCATTAAATAATTCATCAGTATTAATGTGTTACAGTGCTTCGTGACATTATCAGTACACTTCAGCTTTTAATAATTGTAGTTGGACAGGATGACTTTACCAGCTAATCATTTTTAACTAGGTAGTCTTTTAAAAGTAATCGTTACTATTTACCAGATTTATGTAAAGTTCTGAAAATTTGGATTTTCTTTTGTATGCTCTGAAATAAAAGTGCTGAAATAAAGAAACAACAAATATTCTAAAAACATCTGTTTTTTGGATTGCATTACTGCAAGTGAATGTTTCTGACATGAGATAATCCAGAGTGAAATGTCATCCTGAGTGGTTTCATTGTATTCTGACATCACAATATAGTCAATGTTTTAGAATATTGAATGATTTAAGTATTTAAAATAGAGTCACTTGGCTAACTACTCAGAATTGAGTATGAATGCAGTCTCACGAAACACTGGAGTTTAGAGTGTGTATATTTCTAGGTTTAGCAAATACTTTCTCAAAAGGTTCTGGTTATTGCAGGTGTTTATTTGTACTGAATTTTTTTTTTTTTTTTTTTTTTTTTTTTTTTTTTTTTTTGCCTTCTCAGTTCAAAGCAGTATTCAACGGTTTCAAGAGAAGTTTTTTATTTTTGCTTTGACACCCCAGCAAGTTAGAGAGATATGCATATCAAGGTAAGAGGAACATTTCATATATATTTTTCCTTAAGGGTTATGTGTGTTTCATCTTGAGTTATAACAACATATGATAGACTGGTTGACTTAAAGAGAAACTTATTCTCAAAATTCTGGAGAGTTCTATCAAAGATTGAGGTATTGAGATTTTGGTACTTCAGAAGCTTTTCCTTAGGCCTTATGTCACACATGACTTTTGTGTTGCAATGCATCCCTCTATGAAACATGACACCGTGTCTTTTAGCTTAGGGATTCCTTTAAGAACTTTAATTGCATCTGTAAAGGCAGTTACAAATACAATCGCATTGTGGGTTAAGGCTTCCATGTATAAACTTTGGGGGCTCACAGTTCAATCTTTTAAAGTTCAACTATTTTTTGTTTTTGTTTTTTACACATTTTTTTCGTGTGTGTGTGTGTGTGTGTGTGTGTGTGTGTGTGTGTGTGTGTGCGCGCGCGCACGCGCGCGCGCGCGTAAGTGCACTCTCAAGAGAGGAGAGAGAGAGGAGAGAGAGAGGAGAGAGAGGAGAGAATTGCTGCCATGGTGCAAGTGTGATGTCAGAGAATACCAGGAATTCAATTAGTTCTCTTCTGTTATGTGACTTCAGGGATTAAACTCAGATCAGGCTTAGTATCAAGTTCCTTTGCCACTGATCCCTGCTGCCAGGCCCAATTGGAATAAGTTTAGTTAAGTAGCAAACACTATATATTAGAAAAAGTTACAACCTTTGAATTAAACATCAAGCATCTTTGAATTATTTTTTAGTAACATTTGCCAATACATTTGTTTGTTTTTCTGATACTTGGAATCAAACCCTAGCCCTCTTTCTGTGTGCTGGGCAAGGGTTCCTGTCACCATCAATATTTCAAAGGAAAATTTTATTTCAAATAGGGCAACATAATAAAAGAAAGTGTGAAAATTGGGTGTGGTGGCATGCCTGTGATCCTCCTGCTCCAGAGGTAGAGGCAGGAGGATCAGAAATTCAAGGCCAACTTAAGCTCTCTGAGATTCAAAGTAAAAATGGATTTGATAGTAGCCCAAAGATAAAGCAGCTATGAACAAACATTTCTGAGACTAAATGTGAATAACATTAATGACTCTGGGGTGAGAACAAAAGCTGGGCTTGGGCATGGTGGCATTTGTTTTTAATCCCAGCACTTAAGACACAGATCTCTGTGAGTTGAAGGCCAACCTGGTCTACATACTGACACCTTATCTTTAAAAGAAAAGTACTGGCTATCTTTATGTCAACTTGACACAGACTAGAGTCATTTTGGATAAGGGAACTTAAATTTACCAAATGCCCCCACTAGATTGGCCTAAGGGCAAGCCTGCTGTCTTAGTGTTCTGTTTCTGTGATGAAACACCATAACCAAGGTAGCTCATAAAAGGAAGCATTTAGTTGGGAGCTTGTTTATAGTTTCAAAGGGTTAGTCAATGATCATCATGGTGGGAAGTAGGCAGTCATTGGAGCAGAAACTGATAGCCTGATTTATAGGCAGAGAGAGTGGGGGTGGAAGAGAGGGAGAAACAGACTTTGGGCCTGGCCTGGGCTTTTGAAGCCTCTAAGACTACCCCTAGAGACACACCTCCCCCAACAGGCCACACCTACTCTGACAGCACCACACCTCCTAATCCTTCCCAAATAGTTCTTCTAACTCGTGACCAAGAATTCAAACTGGAGCCTGTGGGACTGTTCTCACTCAAACCTCCACATCTGCAGTGCATTATCTTGTTTGTTGACTGATTCAGAACAGCCAGTTCTCTGGATGGTGTTCTGGGATCTATAAGAAAGCAAGCTGAATAAGCAAGTAAACAGTATCTCTCTGGCCTCTGCATCGCCTCCTATCTCCAGGTTCTTGCCCTGATGAGTTCATGCCCTGACTTCCTCAGCAGTTGACTGTTGTTACCTAAGAGTTGTAAGCTGAAATAAACCCTTTCCTCCCCAGATTGTTATGGTCATGATGTTTATCAATACAATAGATAACCTAACTAAGATCACAAACAAAACCACAAAACCCAGAACAGTTCAAGGTAAAACTGAACTAAATAATAGATACCCCAAACAGTTGTCATTTTGGGATGGAGAAGAGGAGGTCCAGTGGCATTTAACTTAGGTGTAAAGAAGAAACTCAGGTCATTTTATTACTCTGTAAAACATATTTAAGAGGTGAAAAGGGAAGAGGGAAAGTCTGCAGTATGATCACTTCCGGTTAAAGAGGGACTCATTTTACAGGTGCTGGAGAGATGTCTCAGTGGTTCAGAGCACTTGCTGTACTTGCAGAGAACCCAGGATTGGTTCCTAGCTCTCACCAGGTTCACAGCTGGCTGTAATTCCAGTTCCAGGGTTCTGGTGCCCTCTTCTAGCCTCTGTTGGTTCCAGACATGCACACAAACAGCATACTACGTAAGTGCAGGCAAAACACTCATAGAATTATTAAATAATCTTTTCTAAAAGTGGGATAAAGATAGGCAGACATCATTTTTTGCTGTTAATATATTACTCATACTCTTTTTATTTCCTTTGTGGCACTAGGGAACGTCAGACATGACTAAGCAAGTGCTGCTCTGCTGAGCAACCCTAGCAGCCCTTAAAGCTGCTTTCTTACAGGTTACATTATGTCCCGGGACTATAGTGAAAAGCAGAGGGAGGATTTGAAATCAAATGACAGCTCTTCTTTTTTCACCTCTTCCTTAAAGGATGTTTCTGTGAGATGTTAAGGCAGAAAGGATATTGTAGTAAGTAACTTTGGGAAATTCTGTACTTAGCATATTATATGTATTTACAGACATTTCAATATTTATTATGGAAGTGTGCATTGTCAAGCTTCTAAGTGAGTATAGCCAGATTATATATCATGAATTTTTTGTTTGTTTGCCTTTTTTTTTTTTTTTCCAAGACAGGGTTTCTCTGTGTAACAGTCTTGGGTGTCCTAGAACTCGCTTTGTAGACCAGGATGGCCTGAAACTAGCAAAGATCCGTCTGCATCTGCCTCCCAAGTGCTGGGATTAAAGGTGTGTGCCACCATTGCCCAAAATTACATATCTTAAAAAAAAAAATCTTATACAGGGTAATGTTTTCATAAATAAACTGGTTTGTAACAGTCTTGAGAAATTACTAAGTCAAAAAGAAAGAAGTAAATTATAATTTATATAAAAATGTATCATTAATCTGTTACTTAGTGATAAATCTTTGCTTACGGTCAGCACTAAGTGATTGCTAGGTACAATGTGAGAAATGAAATGACATCACTTTACACAACTGGTTGCAGTCTTATTTTGTTGTTGTTGTTTGTTTTGTTTTTTGAGTTAGGGTTTTCTTCATGTAACCCTGGCTGTCCTATAACATACTCTAGATCAGGCTGACCTTGAACTCACAGAAATCTACCTGCCCCTGCCTCATAAATGGTGGTATTAAAGGTGGATTACAATCTTGTTAATGAGCCAAATTATTTAAATAAAATATGCATTGGCACTGTAAATTGTTACATTAAAAAATAACTCATTTAGTCATGGCTGATGAGTCGCTGTGAGGAGACAGGAGATCACTGTTAATCTTGGTGCCTTAGAAAGCTTTACTGAGTAATGTGTGTGTGTATGCCTGTATGTGCCCAGAGTTGTAAATTGTTGTGAGCTACCTTAGCTCTCTAGCCCCCAGTGACCATGTAATCTTAAAATCTGTTTTTGCTTTGTTTTCTACCTTTGGTGCTTAAAAGCCTGTGCCATAGGACTTTTTGTTGAATTCAGACATTGTTGTCTGGCAGCTCCTGTTGCCTGCTGTTTACATCCTCCTTCTCTTTTCTGGAGTTTTGCTTCTTGTCTCCTCTCAGTCTTCTTTAGCAGCTGTGCACTTTCTGCCTTTCTGGGCTCACCTCTTGGCATTTCTCTTTCAAGTTATGCTCCTCAGCCTAGCAAAGTTCTAATCTGTCTCTAGTTGAGAAAACTCGTACTCATGGAAGCACTAAACAGAAAGAGAATTACTATTGTACTCTCCTGTGTTCTAATTTGATTGTGGCAAGTAACTTCAACTTTGAAAACAAATTAGGAACCCCCCCCCTTTTTTTTTCCTGTAGGAATTGTCACATTTTGTTTTGGTTGTATCTACTACTAGCATAAATCCTTAAGGAAAATACTATATTTCATTTATCTTTGAAGCTCCAGGAACCATACTGAATTGCTTGACTCGAATAAATGGAATATTTAAACAATTTAATGAAGAATTGCTTAGAAGGGGTCAGTAATATTTAGGATATTGGGCTATTTTGAAGAAATGCTTGAGAAGGATGTAGGTTACTGGAAGAAAGGGAAGCAGCAGGGACAGAAACGCTAGCTGCTTATACTTGTGCACATCTTAAACCCAGGCATTTGAGTTACTGTGTTTAATCATCACAGTAACTTGATGAAGTAGATATATTCATTTTCTCTCTTTAACACATAAAGAAACTGAACACAGAAAGTTGACTAATTTGCCAAAGGTCAGAAAATTTGGGACTGGAGAGTTAAGTTAGTTACTGCTGTCCCTTCCAGGGAGCTACACAATAAAGAAATAGTGCACAGGGTGAAGGCTAGAGTGCTTCTTAAGGTAGGACGACTCTGTAACGTTTTCCCGCTACAGTCCAGTGCTTAGAATAATGGTTAAGAGTGATACTGCATTTTTATCAGATTTTATATATTGAATTTAAAAAGTGTTCTTTTGAGACAGGGTGTCATATAGGTTAGCTAAGGATAACCTTATGTTCCTGGTCTTCATACCTCTGTGTTGGGGTACAGGCACACACCACCCACCATGTGTACTGGCTAGTTTTTTTTTTTTTTTTTTTGTCAGCTTGACACAAGATAGAATCATCTGAGAGAGGAGGGATTTTTTTTTTGTTGTTGTTGTTTAATGTATACAACATTCTGCTTCCATGTATATCTGCACACCAGAAGAGGGCACCAGATCTCACTACAGATTGTTGTGAGCCACCATGTGGTTGCTGGGAATTGAACTCAGGACCTCTGGAAGAGCAGTCGGTGCTCTTAACTTCTGAGCCATCTCTCCAACCCGAGAGGAGGGAATCTTAATTGAGAAAATGCCTCCATGAGATTGGGCTGTGGGTAATATTGTAAGGCATTTTCCTAATTAATGACATGCTTGCCTGGACTATGCATCAGCTCCTGCCTTCGGGTTCCTGCCCAGTTTGGTTTCTGCCTTGACTTCTCTCAATGGACTATGATGCCATTAAACCAAATAAACCCCTTCTTTCCCTTTTGGTCGTGCTGTTTCATCTCAGCAACAGTAACCCTAAGACACTCATCAAGGAAACTTCTTGAATTGTAATGTGCGTACATGTCACCTGGAGGTCTTGTTTTATTTTGTTTTTTTTCTTAATTGTGTGCAGGTGTGTGTGCAGGTGCCAGTGGAGGCCAGGGGAGTTGGATTCTCTGGAGTTGGATCTTTAGGTGGTTGTGAGCCATCTGATAAAGGTGCTAGGAATTGAGTTGAGTCCATTGGAAGAGCAGTTTATACTGTTAACCACTGAGTCCTCCCTCCAATCCCTGGAGATCTTGTTAAAATACAGGTTCTTAATTTTAGGTCTGGGACAAGACCTGATATTCTGCATATTTAATCATCTCCTAAAATATAACAGTTCTTAAGTGTAAAGTGTAGACTCCATTCTGATAATAATACAGAAATAATAAACGATTCTGTGTCTATAGTTTGATACATGGTTATGAAATTACCCTTATTATTGTGTTGGACCTGTAGGTATTAGTTTTACTGCTTTGTTTGAATCACCTATGTATCTCTAAAAACTGTGGGACTATACTCAAACCAATAAGAATTATCTGATGAATGAAACTTTATATTAAAGAAGTTTCCAAGTGGTTAGAATGTTCAGTCAAAGTGAAGGACAACTAAGCATGTAGATTAGTAAACTTCAGAACCCCATGTTAACTAAATTTGTTATGTGTTAAAGCAAATATTGTATCACCAAAGTTTCTTCAAACTGAAAAATATACCTCAAAACTGATATGAATAATGACTAGAACTGTAGTAAGTAGAGGTTATAATTATTGCACTGTTTGGTTAGTGTCATTTTACATTTAAAAAATTGTGTGTGTGCACACCTGTGAACTCAATGATGGCAATCTTGAGTGGTGGCCAGAAGTTACCTTCCTCTGTTGTTTCTATCTAGTTCATTGAGCCAGGGTCTCTCTGTGAGCCTGGAACTTGTTATTCTAGTTAGTCTGGCTGGGCATGCAATCATGGATTTCCTGTCTGTAAATCCTTCCCCCTGCAGGGTGGCAGGGTTTAGTTGCTCACTGTAAAAACAGCACCCCACCTTTAACATGAGTGCTTGGGATCTGAACCATTATCTACTGAGTCATGTCCTCAGCCGCTGTTATGTGAATTCTTATTGTATGTTTGTAACCTTTTTTCCCCCCTTGCCAATAGGGATTTTTTGCCAGGTGGCAGGAGAGATTATACAGTCCAAGTTCAGCTTCGGTGAGTTTGATAATTTTTTAAGTTCTATCCATTGGAGTTTTAAAATATGTAAGCATGGTTTGGAACCCTAACAATTCTTTGTATTTTTCTTTTTCTTTTTTTTAAATACAGACTTTGCTTGGCAGAGACCAGTTGTCCTCAAGAAGATAACTATCCCAATAGTTTGTGTATAAAAGTAAATGGGAAACTCTTTCCTTTGCCTGTAAGTTGCTATCTGTTCACGAGATTTTTGTGTAGGTTTAGTATAAATAGTGACAACTTGGTACTGAATGATAATTCTAGCCATCTCTAGGGAGGTGCATGTAACTCCTTGGATAAATAAATGGCTGATTTGGGGCCTAAGGAAGATACAAAGGATGAGCCTGAAACTTTATATTCTAGAATTCAAGGAAGTTTTGATTGGCTCTTGGATCATATCTAACAGCTGAACTTGGGCACTTGAGCTTACAAAACATGATATATTTCTGAATTAGCTGGGTTTAGCCTGTAGATTCTATCAAGGAGAGCAGAAATAGCAACCAAATCCAGGATTGTAAGCTTGTCCTTGATGATGCACGTACTTGGGGTCCCAGCTTGTTGTCTAACAGTGAAGCAACTTCTGGAATATATACAGTGTAAACATATATAGCTGATTTCTGGCTTGAGATTACTGGAATCTTCAAATCCTTATGTCTTAAAATAGCATTTCAGTTGTTGAACTGTACTGTATTTTAGTTACTACTGTGGCCTGTAATACATCACTAAATTGGTATGGTTGTGTAGAAAGCTAACAATATTGTTATTCAGGAGCAGGGGAGAAGCCTGTATTGAGTACTACAAATAGAGGTGTATATTTGTGTGATTGTAGTGCTGTGTGACTCCACTGATATTCCATGTTGCCCTTTCAGCAAAAGCAGCTGTTAGAGACAGGGAAGCTATTTGGCAGTCTTGCTAGGCTTGAGACTTGACTTTGAATGATTATGTGAGCAATACCTTTGAGCAGCTGAACAAGTCACATAGTGCAGTTCAGGAATCTAGTTTCTCCAAGAACCAAGTGCTTATAACTGTTCACGAT